GAACAATTTAAATTAACGTAAAAAAATATAGTAATTATGTAACTAATGCTACATCTTCGTCCCAAATATATATGGAAGTGTGGTCTGAGTACAGAGGAAGTAAGGACATATCAGATGGACCCCTTCTGAAAGCCTTTGGCTTTACATCAACAATATCTCCCTCTGGAGGTGGCATTGGTGTATCTCGATCACCAGGTGCGACCAGATCAACAGAAGGTGGCACAGGTGCATCCCACCACCTACAGGAGGATGGGGGAAGTGACGCGTCGGGTTGTGCATTCGGTGGTCTACGGGAAGAATATGAAAAGGTGGAGTGTGCTAAGATGTAGATGGAGTAGGATAAGATGTAACTGGAGTGGCCTGAGATGTAGATGAAGTGGCCTGAGGTGAAGGTTGAACCCCAGGAGTGGACTGAGCTCCACGAGTAGACTATACACCAGTAGTCGACACCTCTCCTTGACCAGAGGTACATGCTACACCCGGACCCGACTGGTTTCACTCTCGTCTAACAGATGCATGCTGGGCTACCCGTTCATGCCTTAATCGGTCGGCTATGTCAACCATTATACGTGTAAGGTATTAACTGTACAATGAGTTTACACAAAAAGAAAACTTATAAAATAAAAAGAAAAAAAAAAGATTGAGAAAATTCTGGAGATACATCTCCAGAATCATTCAACGTTTCATGTACTATTGGTGATTCCGGAGATACAACTACAGAAACATTCTGCAGATGTATCTCCGAAATCATCCAGAGCACATGAAACGTTGAATGATTCTGGAGATGTATCTCCGGAGCATTCTTAAACTCAAAGGTCGCGACAATGGCGTCCTCTTCCCCTCAGAATGAGAAATTTAAGCCTTGATCGTCCATTTGAACCAACAAACAATACATGCAGTTACTCTAAGCTATGTTTCATCTTATTTCTGAATATTTCGACACCTAACAATGGATTCTAATTATTTTACAACAAAACTCGAATATGTACCGAAAACTCGAAAAACTTACTCGAAATTTATAATTTGAAAGATGTTGAATGATGAAATGGATGATGATTGATGATTACTAGAGCCTCAGACGGATGAAATACAATTTGGTGAAGTTAGAGAAATTTGGGAATGAGAGAGTGGGAGAGTTTAGCGTACAGAAATGAAAAAGTGTGGGAAGAAAAGAGTCATGCGCGATAATATGCTCTAAATTGTTTCAGAGATATATCTCTGAAATATTTCAACGTTCAATTGATCTTTGGTGCGTTCGGAGATATATCTTCGGAATATTTTAACGTTTAGTTAAAATATAGTGCGTCCGAAGATATATCTCCAAAAACTAAAGACATTATAAAAAATTCGCAATGTCTAAAAAGCCCACGAAGTGTATTAAAAAATTCGCATGATGTCTAAAAAGCTCACAAAGTGTATTAAAAAATTCTCTTATTATTAATATTAGAAGTCTTGGCCACAAAATTATTCATTTAACATGGGCCAAAAATAAGATCCAGCAGGAGATTCAATTAAGGTGATTTTATCATGTTGAAGACTTTTTTTTTATATACCTATATCCTTAGGGAATAAGAATTTTATGAAAAACAAGAATAAACATGCAATTGCTTTCAATTAGAATACTATCATTTTTATATAAAAATAATTTCCATTGCAGACTTAGTCTTCATTAGAAGTTTTGTAAGTAGTTTTTAATAAACTATATATATAGCAATAGTAGAGATTAATTTTTCAAATCCAAACGAACTATAATATAATAAGAGACGAGTTCTTTATAAAATAAAATAAAATAATTTAACATTGTCTGGTATTCATGAGTCATGGATGACACCCGGTTAAATTGGTATAATAATAATAATATCATTAACTTCTTTTATTTAGTATTATTTTTAATTATTTGCTATTTTAATTCTTATATTGATTAACCTATTTTTATAAATCAATTTTAATATTTTTAGTTTGCAAAAGAAAATGACAAAAACGTAACTAAAAAAACATAAATAAATTAAAAAACGTAACTAAAAAAACATAAATAAATTAAAAAACTTAGATTGTTAATCAGACTAATACTGCACAAGAATATTTAGATGAGATGATAAAATATTAGTCTATGCAGTTGATTGAAAATTATATTCCCTAATAAACCCCTCAAAAATATTACCTTGTTTAAAAAACGTGTCTGTAAATTATATTCTCTAATAAACCCTTCAAAAATATTACCTTGTTTAAAAAACGTGTCTGTTTATCACAATGCCAGTATCTATTCTAAAGTATTTGGAGTTAACAAAGACAAGAATCACATTACTCTGAGTACAATCTTAATAAATTTTAAAAGGATTTGAAAATTTTGCCAAAATCTTCTACCAATGAATTGAATATTCCAATATTAGGAGATTTAGTTCTATGGAGAAAAATAAACTTGATACAAAATAGAAGACTAACATTCCTTCCATTTTCTTCAAAACCCTCCACACTTATTTTCTAAGTTTTCCAAGATCATGTTGATTTGGTTTGTTAAGTTTGAAAGTCAAGAAAATTGAAAATTTTATCACAAAAGTAAAAAACAATCCCATCAACACCTTGCCTGTGTCCATTTACTTATGTTAACATTGTAAAAAATTACTCATATGCTTGTCAATGTAAAAAAAATTATATAAATGGCATTGTCTATTATGCTAACAATGTATCACGCCCACACAATTTTCAGGGTTACATAAAAACATTATTTGATGAAATTCCTTCCGAACTCAAGCAAGTAACCTCCTCATGACCACTCTGCCCAATAAAAAAGATAACGTAAGAATGCAGAAAACAGTTTAAAACAGTAAACCACAAAAGTTTGCAAAACCAATAACAAAATAGAAAGCTCAGTATTACAACATTGAGATTTGAGACTTCAAATATGCCGAAGATCAGTTACAACTTACAAGTGTTGACGTCATAAGTTTATAAAAAAAAAATAGGGAAGAGAGGGAATACAAACCTAAAATTATGATTATACTTTTATGTATTGGTGACAAAAAAGACAAAGAACTAACCCTTATTTACACTAATACTAGAAGACCAGTTACTAGTGTTGAAGCTACAGGTATTAAATCAAGAATGATGAGAAGGGAATAAAAACCTGGAATTTTGATTATAGTTTTGTTTATTGGTGACAAAAAAGACAGAACTAACCTGGAATTATTTTGGTATACGCTAGTTACAAGTGTAACCTTTGCAAGAGAATAAAAAATCAAATAATTTCATATGGAAAACTCGCTGGGCAGATCAGATCATATTTGGAAAAAACATTGAGGCCAAATCACATCTAAAACACCGAGATCAAATTGCAACTGCAACAATAGTTTGGCCAGAATGCATGTGGGGAAAATATAAAAATGGAATCAAACCTAAATCAGACAAAATTTGAGGCCCTAGACTGCAACTGGGATAAAATTGAGGCCAGGCTACAGCTGTGACAACCAAAGCCAAACCATCCATAAGACAACCAAAGCCAAACTAGAGCCATAAAATTCTTGCAATAAGATGACCAAATTGATGCAAAACATGAATGGGGACCAATGGCAATGACAAACAAGGTTGGACATAAATCAGCAGACAACGAGAAACTTATGTAACATCACATATTTTGTGGACTATGCCAACAATAGGAATGGCTGACCCAATAAACTGCTTTGAACAGCCAACAAAACTTATAACCAATAAAGAACTCAAGAGACAAAATGTTGACCAAATTGATGCAAAACATGAATGGGGACCAATGGCAATGACAAACAAGGTTGGACTTAAGTGAGCAGACAACGAGAAACTTATGTAACATCACATATGAGTTTGTGGACTATGCCAACAATAGGAATGGCTGACCCAATATACTGCTTTGAACAGCCAACAAAACTTATAACCAATAAATAACTCAAGAGACAAAAGGTGGCTAAAAGAACAAGGCAGAGAAAGAGCTTAAATAGTATTTGTTACCCTAGAAAGGAGTGGTTTGGGGAGGAACCTAAAGGTTGGAGAGATAAGATAAGGGATGTAGCTCAACTCCTCTAACTAAGATTTCTAACAACTAATTTAATAACATGTTAATAAAAAAAGGAGTAACACTTTCCCTGTTTTGAGAGAAAACCATACCTCAACTAAGACTACAGAAAAAATTAATCTAGCTATGTTTCCAAAACTCTAATTCTCTAAGGATGGCAACATGGCCAGGCGTCAACCATGGAATGACCAACAGCATTGAGGCGGGACAGCTAGCACAGTGAGGGAAGTGGTTTCCTTGAGGATAAGGACCCAATCAGTGACCGAGTCTACGGGAACTTGAACTGCTACAGATTCTGAGTTTCCCAACAAGGTAGTATTGTAAATGTAGATGTAAAATTTGTTATAAACTATGCCTTCGGCAGGAAGCGTTGGTTGCAAAGACAAGACAACATCAACGGCGCGACTAGTCTTAGTTGAAATCTAATACGGACTTGAGTATTATGGGGTGCCTATATCTTAGTGGTTTGATAACTAGCTTTTAAGGGATACTAATTGAAATCTAGCAAAATCAATAAGCTTTGACGCAAAAAAACCGAAAACCAAGAAAATTGCACGGTTGAATATGATTTTCCCTCAACTCAGTAAAACAAAACACATGGTTACATTAACTCTTAAAGCATAATAGGTCAAATACCAACGTGAAAACCCAGATACAGATAAACCGGATACACTACCCAGATAATGATATATTTAAATTCAGCAGTATATGTTTGGTTAAAACCGGTTTAAACCTAAATTTTACTTTTTTTTTAACACTTTATGTATAAGCCAAGTTTTCAAACTTCATACAATGTTCATAGATACAAAATCAAACCCTAATTTACACAAATCTTTCATACAACAACCACTGCAAAGATCAGGATCTTGAAAACAAGAAAGTTCCAAACAGAATCCATACATTTGCACACAACAAATTAAATTTGAAATTGGATAGAAAATTACCATAGTATGTGAATCTAAAGCTCGAGCTTGAGTTCCTCGCTTTCGCGGTTGAGAAAGTGAAGAATGTAAGGGGTGAGACGAACCACAGCGACCCATGTTCCGAACATGGCGACGTGAGATTTGAGCTCCTTCAATGCCGCAGTCTTGTCTGGCTTTCGCATGAACCCTGGAAACATGGCTTCTTCTCCGATGGGGAAAACTTTTGTTTTTAGGGTTTTGGGATTACAGAACCTTCAACTTGTAATTTGTGATATTTCTCTTAGATTTAAGAGGGTTAAGAATGGCAATATAGATAACTTTGTAAGAAAAAGCCCTTTAATATGAAGATGTTGTTAAGCTTTCGGCCCATTAGATGTTTGCTTTGGTCCATTTGGAAATTTCTTAATGCACCACTGACGTTCAACCGCGTTTGTTCGCTTTTTATAATGTGTATCAAAACATAAATATATTTTTTTATTTAATTTTAATTTAAAATATTTATATAATAAATTTTGTGATATGCAATTGTGTATAATAATTTAATTAAATTTCTTTATTAAATATGTAGTAAATATGAAATAATTAATATAAAAAACTAAAATAAAATTCTCTCTCTCACACACATGATTTATTTGCACACAAACACATAGAATGTTGGAAAAATGATAAATGATGAATAAGAGTCCACATTGTAATGTAAGAAATTGTTTAGTAATATTATAAATTAATAGAGATAGGTATTCAAAGGAGTCTTTTGTTGGCTCCAACGATACAAAACTTTCAAACACATGTCAAAAATTTTTGCAATGATAACTTTCATTCAATTCCTTTCAAAATAAAGAATGAAAACAAAGATAATGAATTAAAAGTTTTAAAACCTGACTTCTAAAAAATAAAAAGGATAAAAATTCATCAAAAAATATGGATAATGAAAACTTGTATAAGAAGATAACCTGAAATATACTCATTTGAAGATCCCATATATGCCCATTCTACAAATTTTGTAAATTTGTACTCAACTTCAATATAAATACATAAATAGATATTTAACATTACAATTAAGTGTCAATAACATGTACATAAGAAAGAAACTAAGAAATCAAGAAGCAAAAAAATAGAAAAAATGCAATAATTCACTCATTCCAATATGTATCGGTAAATGGGTATCTATTAAAAACTTTTAGTAATTCTTTTTAGGGTAATGTTAACTTGTGTCCTTGGGGCACATATTAAGAACTAAATTAAGAAACATTATCTTGGAAATTGTGTATAAATTTTAATTAAAGTATAAAATTAATTTTTAAATCGTTTTTTTCAATGCAAATTTACTATAAGTGGTTTTCTTAACATGTGCCACAAAGGCACAAGTTAACATTACCCTTCTTTCTATATGGTTAGTCTTATAAATAAAGCAATTTAGAATACATAAGAGCATTTACTCCTGTATCGGCTACTACGCAGCCATAGTTTCCCCATTTCTTTCCTTTTTTTTTCCTTTTTCTATCAAATTCATTTTTAGGTTGTGATATACAGTGAAAAGTGAGATGTGGGTGAAATAAAAATTAAGAAATTAAGGTAATCTAGTTTAAGAAAACGTGTCATTACACTTACACACAAAAAAAAGAAAACTTAAGATTAACTTGCACTAAATGAAAACAAAATTAATATGCACTAATCAATGCAAACCCTAGAATTATATATTAATAAAACTTTGGGTAATGTTAACTTGTGCCCTTGGGGCACATGTTAAGGAAACCATTTTTAGTAAATTTATATTGGAAAAAACAATTTAAAAATTAATTTTATACTTTAATTTAAGTTTGTACACAATTTCCAAGATGATATTTCTTAATTTAGTTCTTAACGTGTGCCTCAAGGGCACAAGTTAACATTACCCTAAAACTTTATATATAACTGTTTAATATATGTTTTTCTGTACACAAACAAATATGAGATTGACAAATATAAACAAACCAACACATTTTTACAACACAATTTAAAATCTTAAAACAACACAACACAACCTTGCTCATTATTCGTGTAGGAGAAACAAATTTGATTGCACTTAACTCAATTTATTTTTTTCTTATTTATATATGTGATCGCTAGAATACAAAACTGCGTTAAAGGGAAATTCTTTTCTTTCTAATTTAATTTTTCTTAATGTGCAAGTCCTTCTTTTTTTTCACTACTTTCTTGTATAAACCGTAGAGAAAGAAATATACTATATCACTCTTGTTTTAAAAACAAAAAACAAACTATTTATTTGTTTACATAACTGCTGCAACTATTTATGCAATTATTGTGCAGTTATTATTAAGTAAGTATTTGTAACTTATCAAGTGGTTAATGGGTAAAATAGGAAGAAAAATATGTCAGTCCAAAATGATATATCTCATTTATATATAGTTATAGATATATGTTATTTACGCACCATACAAAAATATTAAAATGTCTCATATTTTGAATATGCATCTCCGGATGCACCCAATACACACACAACGTAGGTCATTTTATGAGTGAAGCTCTATTAGTTGGATATTTTTAATATCAGAGATGCATTTTCAATATATTTTTGTAGGTGCATTTCCGCAACGAATGCACAGCAGTGGTAGAGGCAGAAACCAAAAACTTGTAATTTGACAAAATAAAATTAACATTCATAACATAAAATAAGCATTACATAGATGATTTCAACATAAAATGCAACATTACACTTCAATATCCAAGTGGACACTTCAATATCTTAACAGTATCTTCGACCGATCTTCGAGCGAAACTTTTGTTTTAAAACAGAAAAATGTATTTCGTATATCTTGTACATTTGCAATTGTCTTAAGCTCAAAGTTGTTCAACTCAATCTTTCCTTCATTGTCAATCAACGGTAACGGTACTCGAGATTGACAATTTTTTGATTGTCTCTGTAAGCTATGAGATTATGCACTTCGTATTTTAGATTTGCAAAAGATGTGTATTAGAATATGAAGTACATAATCTCATAGCTTAAACATATTCGGGTGTCGTGTTGGAAAATTAGACATTTGCGACATACCAGAATATGTTTATTTGAGACATTATCAATTTGTGTGAAATAAAAGACAAGAGCCCCTTAATTTATAAAACTTGTAAACAAATATGGACCTCAAAAATTCTACCATGTATTAATACTGATTTCGGAGATATATATATGATACCACGCCCTATTATCTTATTTTGGAGATACATTTCCAGAATCTATCCTGGACCAGGCAGAAAACATAACCTTATTGATGACTTTGTTTGGCAAATGAACAAATGTTTTGGCAAAGTTGCAAGTATATTTTTCGGTTTAACCAAATTCAATGTCATGTCAGAAACCCATTCCTTCTCTTTCGGCATGAGGCAACACACAATTAGATGGTCTGCTAAATTTTCACACAAGTCATGGTTATATGAATCACACATGACATTAAATCTCAATTTCTTATTTTCCAACATATAATCATGCATCTTAAAGGGACATTCACATTTTCTTGAACTGGTATCATATCGTTTAAAATTTCGGAGAGAAAATTTATATTTTCCACTTCTTTCGCACGTCATTGTCACAAATGCACATCTTTTATCCGAACATTATCAGACCTTTTTCCTATTACCATACTGAAACCCAGTTTAGAGGCCTTCGTATGAATCCATTAAAGCATTTGATCATGAAATTCAAACTCTTGCTCATTTTTAAATTGATTGCCAACATCCACCGCTTTCATAACAACCATTTGGCATCTGGAGACACAACATGTTTGTGGAAAACATCGGAGTGCGTCATATCTAATGAAAATAGTTACAACAAAATACTTAATAAGTGAAAATAATGTAAACAAAGTTGAAAAAGAAAACATAAATATACTAGAGATGCATTTTTGAATGAGTTCATACAGACTCCAGAGATGTATCTCCAAATTCAACGCATATTTTTCATACTGAAAGCAAGATTAATATGAGTAATAGGGCTTGAAATAAATGACCTTTACTTAGAATTCCAACTTATTTTGCTCCTTTTGATGTGATGAAACACAAGATTGAAGATCTAGAGTGAAAATATGGATGGAGAATGAATGGTTTTTGGAAGAGTTTGAAGTAGAAAACAAGTATAGTTATGTGATCATGCAGTTAAGTCTTTTATTAAATTATTTTAGAGATGCATCTATAGAAATATCAGACATGTAAAGGTCACAGAAATTTCAAAGTCCCGTCTCGATCCTCTGAAGATGCATCTCCGAAATATCCACTAGGTTTCTCAAATATAAATATATTTGTTAAAAATACCCGAAGATGCATCTCTGAAATAAATTATTGTTTTAATCTGGGGTGACACTCATTTGGTGTGCCATAAGATGCGTCACAACTGCAAAAAACACCCGGCGAAAAAACGGAAGAGTCGTCATCGAACGTTATTTATCCCAAAGAGAGGGAAAGGAAACGATCGAAGAAAACCTAAAGAACAGGAAAAGACCAGGTCATCGCAACCAAATCTTAGGTTCGGGAGTCGGTTACGCACGGGGAAGGTATTAGCACCCCTCACGTCTGTTGTATTCAATGGGATTCATGATTGTTATCTAATCAAATGGTGTGTTTATTTATAAGCTACTGCTAAACAGAAACGAGCATAAAAGAAAAAGAAAGAGAAAGAGACTCGATAGGACATCACCGCCCTATGCCTACGTATTCCCTCGTGCAATGGAAAAGTCAGAGTCAACGTAGTTTGAGAAACTACAAGTGATTGGGGGAAGGTTGCTTGCCAAGACATCGTCGTCTTGTGCCTACGTATCCTCATTTGGTATGAGAAATCAGAGCAAATGTAGTTCGAGTAACTACGGGAAAAAGGAAAAAGGGTGTTCGCTAAGACTTCATCGTCTTGTGCCTACGTATTCTCATCTGGTATGAGAAATCAGAGCAAACGTAGGTCGGGTAAACTAGACCACTGGTTGATTAAGTGTTTTTTATGAGTGATTCTAAGTTCTCATTTCAGCAGTTAGGGTCGATGCCTGTTTGCGGTAGAACGGAAAAGTAACACACTTTTTTCTAAAAATGATTTTGAAACACAAATCCCGAAGGATAAAAAGGTTTGAATCGGTTTGTGAGTTTTAGTGAAGTAAATTAATTTGATTTGTGATTCACGTTGCACTAAAGACTATGACATAGGAACGAATGCATCGCA